TAAATTTAAAAAAACCATTCAAGAAAACAATGAGTAGATCTAAAATAACTATTAGGCATATCTTTGTCGTGTTGAAACTTCAAGGCACATATACTTCGAATCCATGAATCCATCATGGCTAGTGCGCCAGAAATGAATGGCATATAAAACAGGTTGCGATGTGATAGACACCTTTTTTATAAGTAGCTAGCACTCACATATAATACATAGAAAATTACATACACATTAAAACTTTATCCAACACAAATATTACTTTCTGCTTTATCCACATATAATAAAGATTTAAAATAAAAAAATTGATAATTTCTAAAATAAATATCTAAAATTTATTTATAAAAATTAAATGGTGTCGGATTTCTCTAACGCTTGTTATATAAACAACAAAGTTTCTAATTGTTAATTCTGATAACATGCTAGGCTGTGCTCATGGACAATAAACTTCAAATATTATATAAGAGGGGACCTAATTTTAAGGAAAGGAAAGCATTGACTTGAGACACATGAAGTGACATTTCACCATATATATATTTCTTCTCACCCCAAAAGTTCTTAGTCTCCCCAAAAGTTTAATTAGTTCAAATGACATTGATTAGAAACAGATTAAGGATAGATCCTAATTTGGATTCTCTTCGTAAGAAAAAAAATAAAATCCTGAGTTGCCATGAGTAATTTATTATCTTTGAATTTGTGTGCGTGAGCTTTGTTGGATTTTCTAATTAAGCAAGAGAGAAGGAGAGGCCTTGATTTCTCTGTCTATTAAATATAATATTCTTGTTGTGTTGTGTTGTGTCTGCTTAATTAATCTCATTTCAGAAGCAACTAAATATTTTTATTACAATCCTTTGTTTCTTTTTCTTGTACACGCATGTCTATGTCCATTGTCTTAGTAATACTGTGGCTCGCTATAGTTCAACAGTAAAACAAATAAAATAAATTTTGTGAGGTATGTTTCGGAGCTAGTACTAGTATAATGGCTGTTATGAAGCAAAAAGTAACTTTTCGTACCTGTAATTTGATAAAATTTTCACTTTTGTCTTTGTAGTTTCAATTACGGTAATTTGACTTATGTAGTTTGATTTTATTGTAATTTAAGGACATACACATCCAATTTTCCGTCCAATTTCTTGATGAAATAAGCATGTGTCTCTTACATGAATGGGTATTTTAGACGGAATTAGATGGAAATTTAGATGTATCCTTGAATTATGATAAAAACAAACTATAGAGGTTGACAAAATTAAAACTACAAAGGACTAAAATGATAAAACTAATAAACCATAGAGACTAAAAGTGACTTTTTTCATTTATGAATTGTTCCTAATTCTTATCATATTTTTATATGTGTTAGCTTGAATTTTGATCTCAAAAGTTGCGTGTATATATGTATATGCTGCATATTGAGATGGTGGTGGCAGTTGTGGTGGCAATAGCACATGAGATTGGTGGTGATGGCAAAGATTGTTGTGTTGGTCATGACTTTTTTTCTTTATTTGGGGATAAAAGTGATATAGGGGAATCATATACATGACATTGGATACATATGGATGCATGCTATTTATTACTTGAGTTATATACACACAATACAATTTTGACTCTAATACAAAGAACTATGATATTTTCTGTAGATCATAGGAGGATTTCTTTGACAGTTCCAATGTAGTGATGGGATGTGTTTTAAGGATTGTGTGGTTGGGTTTTAGTTTTGTCTGTTTCGTATAAGTTGTGTTGATTTTTTGTTTTAGTCTATTTCATATATTTGTTTTGTTTTTTTTTTTGTTTTAATTGTTTTTTTGATAGTCGAACGACCGTTAACATGTTAGTTCTTACCATGCAATGGTTCCTATGGGTTTAATGAAATACCATCGTTTCTATAAAATAAAATAAAAAGAAGCAGATATGAGCATTCAATGAATTTTTTCAATTCCCATAATACCATAATACCATAATTAAATTTTTTTTAAAATAATATCGTCTATCACCACCACCTCCACCATACCACCACCACCACCACCTTCATCACTACTACCACCACTACCACCACATTCTCTACCCTCATCAACACCACCACCTTCACTAACATCTCCACCTCCATCACCATCACCACCACCACCACCACCACCACCTCCTCCACCACCTCAAACTTCATCTCTTTCACCACCACAACCACCTTATGATTAGCACTTAACACATCATGTCTATTTAATTCATTATTTATAGTTACAACAGTTTTATATTAAAATTTACCCAAACGGTTTTGACAATGCTTTTTATACTAACATCACTTTCAAAATCTTGTTTACCAAACATGAAGATGATTTACTTTACAGCTGATTATTTTCAAAGCACAGCAGAAACAACTTTTTTATTTTTATTTTTTATTTTTAAAGTAACAACAATATTCCCAAACCGGTCCTAACTCTTAATTATATACATTATTTATATTATAAAATTCACCCCATCACAAATACTTACAAAAATCATAAAGACATATTCCTATAATCATACAATTATACATATCAATAAATAAGAAAATAAATTTATACAATTTTCTCTCACCTAAGATGGAGGGTTTGAAGGGGATGGCCGAGAAGCAGAGGTGGATAGGGGGAGGGGAAGGTCTGGGAGGATAAGGAAGGGAGGGAATGGGAGGAGGAGAGGTATAGAGGCCACCAACCCCGAGGTGGGTGACGGTTGAAACTTTTCTCTCTTAGAATTTTAAGATGAAAAGAGGTTATTATTTACATGGAGAGGCTAATAGTGAGATGATAAAAAGGAGAGAGTATTGAGATAGTGGAAAATAATGAGATAAAAACAGTTCTTTTTACGTGCATTTAAATTTCAATAATCTTTTTAACAACAAAAGGAGGGAGAGAGAGCAAAGAGCCTACTAGTGTAGTGGTTTGGAGTAATTGCTCACTCCAAGAAAAGGTTCTGGGTTCAAGTCCTAGCATTTGTGTAGTGTGTGTGAGTTTAGTATATTATTACCCCTCTCAATAGGAAAGGTCTTTAAAAAAAAAGGAAGGGGAGAGAAATTCACCATTTCCCTTGAGCCAACATCAGTATTAATTCATTGAGTAATGCTTATTTTTATTTTATTTAACAGTTGTTCATGAGATTTGAACTCAAAATATCCTTCAATAAGGTGAAGATTAAATGCTACCAAACTAAATAGTCATTAACCATATAATAACCCGAAAAATTGCGTGTATTGTAAAAGGTATCAATCTTATGAACAAATAAAGAAACACAAGCCCAAGTCTGTAGAGAGAAAAAAAAAACCTAGAGTTTATACAGCAGCCGCCGCCCCCTTTGGTGGTAAGTGGCTTCTCACCCCTTTTTAGCTCTCCTCTCCTCTCTCTCCCTCCTCCCTTCCCCTTCTTTTTTCCTAGTTTTCCCCTCTCCTCTCTCCGTTGTCATCTTTCTAACTCTCTCTCCCTCCTCCGGTCTCCGTTTGGATTGTGGGTCCTCTTGCCCATATATGTTCGAATCTTGGAATTTGTTTGTTTGTTTTGTGTGTTTTTTTGTAGGTTCTTGGTGGCTTTATATTGCTGTTGGATCTTTTACTTGATTGTGTTTGTGGTTTTGTTGTCGCTGGGATGGATGGGTTGTGGTAGCTGCCGACCTAGCTTCTTTTGTTTTTGTTGTGTTATTGAAGTAGTCACTGCAAATCATCGTAGTCACCATGATGTAGTTGTCACTTGGTCCACGTACACAAGGTTTTACACAAGTCACTACAAAAAAAGTGGCATCTTTAATCACCCCAGCAAATGTCACCAAATGTCACCAAATAATGGTGTCTGTTGCCACTTTTTTTTGGGTAGTGAGTTCTGGATTTAGAGTTGCAAAATTGAAAGTTGACGGTTTTTGTTAGATAAGGTTTAGTTGGTGTGCGACACTATAGGTTTAGCCGGTAGGGTGCTACGAGTCTTTTCGGTTTGCCGGAGAGAATGTGAAGCAGTGTTCTTGTTTCTTTGTTTGGTGTAATCTAATAATTCTCACTCTTTAGGAGTTGTTGTGTTTTACTTTTCAACTTTTCGATATGGATTTACCGTTGCACACGGTAGATCTGTATTGTAAGTATGAGTACATATGCTTTTGTTTGCCGAACCGGAGTTTCAAGCCTTTTTATATTTAAGCACAATTCTCTCTAGACCAAACCAAATTGTTTTTGTGTTCGATCATTGGAGATGTTGTACTTATATTTAGCACTATGGCTGCCTGTACTTTATTGTGTTTTATCAATAAAATACTATTGCATTTTCTCAACAAAAACATCTTATGAACAAATTATATATATATATATATTTAAAATATGAGATGTGAGTTAACAATTCATAATAATAACTGATGTAAGAAGTTACATATCAATTCCTGTATAATGTGATCATGATCACAGCAATATACTCTTTCAGCATATCAAGTCTTAAATAACAATTGATGAATTAATGTGGTCATAAAATATGGATCCATTAATAATAGTTACTCTTTCAGCATATCAATATAACAATTGATCAACTATAAACTGTTGGTGGGTATAATATATAATAAACCATAAACAAAACAGTTGATCCACTCTAATAATTATTACTCTTTCAGATATACTCAATAGAGTATTCCTTTCAAGCACACTCAGTGTTAACACAGAAAATTCAACTCACATATTAAAATTTGAAACAATTAAAAAAAATTAAAAGTTACTAAAGAAGTGAAATATTTTATCTCTATTATTTTTATATTTATATATACTTTAGATGTTGAGAATGGCTGCGTTTGCCACTTTATGATATCTCTCTCCTCCTCCTCCCACCTCTCTCTTCTAAACTCGTACCCTTCCCTTTCCCTGCACTCGATTCCCTTTGTTTTCTATTCGTTCTAGGGTTTGAAATTATGGGGCTCTCCTTTCTCAAGAAACCCATAAAATATTGAACCTCTCTATATTAAAATTATCCACATATTTTAGTATATTTTTCTTGTTTTCTGTTCTCTTTAGCTCTCTGTGTATGGCTGGCTTAGACTTGGGCTCAGCATCTCGCTTTGTTCATCAGCAGCTCCAAATCCCCGACCTCCACCTCCAAAGACCACCGGATTCTGATGATGATCACAACACCCCCAACCGCAACAACCTTTTCTCCTCCGACCACCACCAAAACGACGTTGATGATGACAACCCTCATCATCAAGGGCTTGATCTTGTGACCCCGAACCCTGGTTCGGGGGATTCTGGAGGTCGACGCTCCAGAGGTCGACCTCCAGGATCAAGGAACAAGCCCAAACCACCCGTGATCATAACTCGGGAGAGCGCAAACACTTTGCGAGCTCATATTTTGGAGGTCAGCAGTGGCTGTGATGTGTTTGATTCCGTTGGAACATACGCCAGAAAAAGGCAGAGAGGGATTTGCGTGCTGAGTGGGAGTGGTATGGTAACCAACGTGAGCCTGCGTCAACCAGCTGCGGCTGGCGCAGTTGTCACGCTGCACGGCAGATTTGAGATTCTGTCGTTGACAGGCTCGTTTCTACCGCCCCCTGCGCCACCCGGGGCCACTAGCCTGACCATATTTTTGGCTGGTGGTTCGGGCCAGGTTATGGGTGGAAATGTTGTAGGAGCACTCATAGCATCTGGGCCTGTTATTGTCATAGCCTCATCGTTTACCAACGTAGCCTATGAGAGGTTGCCCTTGGAGGAAGAGGAGCAGCTGCAGATGCAGCAGCCTGTGCCGCAGTCTTCGGGCGGCGGAGGCAGTGGTGGCGGCACCGGCGGTGGAGGAGTAACGAACCCCTTTCCAGATCCGTCTTCGGGGCTTCCCTTCTTCAATCTTCCGCTCAATAACATGCCTCATCAGCTGCAGGTTGATAGTTGGGGAGGAAACTCTGCCGGGCGGCCGCCTTATTGATAGTTTTGCTAGCTATAGGTCAGGTCATGACCAAGGTCAGAGAATCGATCCTTAAATCAATATCAATCATCCCCCATCTTGTACAATTAATTTTCTTGCTTAATTTCTTTTTTATTTTTCTCTTGTCCTAACTTCAATTTGGTTCCTAATTTTAAGTGCTTTTTTAATGTGTTGTTGTTGATGATCATCTCCGTATGGAATGATGATGGAAGTTGGATTTTGGAACTCCCTTTTCTTAATTAGAAATGGTTTCAGAGAATATTGTAGCTTTTGATTGATATAAAATAAAACTTGTCTGAAATTATGATAATATTGTTGATAAGTAATTATGTTTCAAGTACCACAAAATCTAACATAACATTTGATAAATTATTGTTATTATAATCCATAAGATTAATACAGATCGAGTTATAAACTATATGATTGTTAATCATGTATAATAGTCTTCTGAACTTTGGAGCTTTGTCATGAAAATGATTAACTTTTGCCTTTTCTATATGTAGGATGTATATATGTGTGTGTGTATATATATATATATATATATATATATATATATATAGCTATGTCAAGCTTTCCACTCCCAAGGATATATAATTAATTATATGATTTTGGTCATTTGAAATTTTATAAACCTATATTTATAAAATTAAATCTCTCTCTCTCTCTCTCTCTCTCCAACTGCATATATCTTAGCACATGAAATATACAATCTCTCCAATCTTACAATATGAATCTAAGAAAGCAAAAGCTATCATAGTTTCAGTGGTATAACCCCATGTTCATAATGAAAGTTCGACACTTGCTTGTCCACTCCTTCTTCCCTAATTAAAAAAGGCTCTCACATCTGACCACTCCACCTACACAATCAAATATATATATTTTAAAATTAAATCATCCTAGTTTATTGCACAGTGCTCTCTTAGACATCATCAACCCCAGTTGCTCTAGTTATTCTTAAAACCATATTATATATATTACAGTGAGGGTTCTTTTGTTTACACTTTTCTCTTTTTCCTAAAATACTATAATCTCAGAGGTTCTTCCATTCAAGAATTTTTCCTTAGTTTTATATCTGGTACATATTCTTGGAGGGCTTTTCTTTCAGAAAACAAAAATATTACTCGGGAGAACCCCCAGTTAGTATATTTATCATTATTATTGTCTTTGTTTTTCTATTTGCTTTGTGAAATACATAGGTTTCGATTTGTTTTGTTCATTCCGAAAGCGAAAATTTTACTTGGCAGTAGCAGAGACCAAGAAGAAAGGAAAAGATAGTCTTACTTTGCTCATCAAGACATAAGGTTAATTCGACTGCCTTGTTTGATGCAAGAGTTTTTGTTTTAAGTTTTCATGTTGTGCCCTTGAGTGGATCAGCTAACTCTGTGACTGAATTCAGGACTCATTTTCTGTACAACAATAAAATAATTCAAAACTTTACTTCCAAAATTCCTAAATCTGAATAGCGTGGCCAGCACATATCGGTTTCTTGATTTTCAAGCCATTGTTGCCTTTTTCTTTTCTGTCTTTTTATTCTATTTTATCAAAACCTTTTTCTTTGTTGATTTTCATTTCTTAATACATGTTTGATGTTGTGCATGCATTACAAGCTATGTATATATCGAGCGATGTTGTCCATCCCAGGGATCAACAATATTCTAATGATCAGCCATGTATACTTTATCAATCCTATAATTTAGACAAACGATTTGAAAAAAGAATAAAGTAATATTTGCCCAAACTATCATCGTGAAATAATCATTTGAGGTTCTACCCAGAAATCAATTGACAATGTGGGGATAGCTCGTGGAAAATCTCTTAACTTTCTGATGTGGGATAAATACTCTGAACACATCTATGGTCCTTACTTAGTCTGAAAATTCCATCATATATTGCTATATATAGTCTGGTAAGAAGGCATTTTACAATTTAATCTATGGGTACTTCTGTTTCTTGAATTCAACCATACTACCATATACATAAAAAGCAGTTCCAAATAAATCCAAAGTGCATATATATATTCTACCCCCACCTATTTACATTATATAACAAGCATTTGGATTTTCATCACTAAACGTTTGTGGAGCATAGACATAGTGAATGAAATATGGAGCGTTGCTCTCTTTTGGTTTAACCTCCACCACCTGCATATCTTCCTTAGTTTCTACGACCCTGGTGATTGGTTCAGAAGATTTCTCACCACTGTCTTTCTCTTTCTCTTTCTCTTTCTCTTTCTTTTCCTCCTGTTTCTCTGCTGGTTTTGAGGCGCCCTTCTCCTTCTCTTTTGTTTCTTCCTTTTTCTCTGCTGGTTTTGAGGCACCCTTCTCCTTCTCTTTTGTTTCTTCCTTTTTCTCTTCTGGTTTTGAGGCACCCTTCTCCTTCTCCTTCTCTTTTGTTTCTTCCTTTTTCTCTGGTTTTGGGGGGCACAATTTCTGCATGTTTGTGCACCTTTTTTCGTAAATACGATACTAGTTTTTCCGGCTCGATTGTTCCTTCCACTGTCAGAGTTTGTGCTTTCATGTCAGTTTTAACATTGTGAATACCTAGAATATACATCATTGACATATATGCTTCGTTAGAAATACCCTAAATATAGATATACGTACCAATCTTCAAGAAAACTTTGAAATATGTTTAATTTACCTTTTCTCTTTATTAACTTCTTCTTCAGATCTTGCTCACATTTGTTGCAATGCATGTTTACCTTCACCAATATTGTCCTTGAAATAGGCTTTGGAATCAAACAAAACCAAATTGGTTAACTACCTAGCTAGTGCATGCATTTCATCAATTACATTTACATGTATTTATCTGAGCTATAAAAAATACCCTTAGTATTTTGATACGGATATTTTGATACTAGGGGTATATGAATGAGGGAGTTAAGGTTCAATTAATACTATAAAAAAAGGTGCACATTGTGAACCTAACCAGGACCTACAAGGTACATAACGAACACGATGACCGACCCTAATGAACCAATTGATGGATAAGTTTAAACACTTCACTCCCTTTGAATTCTATCATCATATGGTACATTTCATTTCTAAACTCTCAATTCAAGCAACTCATCATCCCAAGTATCTATTGCTATATAAAATTTAGAGCATCCAAGTGGAGAGGCCTAAGATCTTTTTTACGCAAGGCTTCTCACACAAACTCTCAACAACGCCCCCTCTTGTGCTACTTGAGCAAAAGCAGTGACGGAGTATGGAGTGATGACGGGGGAGTGGGTGAAGCCATTGGAGCCAACATTCAACCCAAAACAAATAGGTAATGGGTAAGAAACCCAAGATCTTTAAAACTACTATGGAAGACTTCTAAATTCCGATGTTGGATAAACGGTCAACATCCATTCGGGAGTTGCTAAGCAAACCTAAGAATTTGATTAGGAAACCAAGCACTAGAAAAGATCATATGTATAACTAAAAAGCAAACTTAAAAAAAAAGAAAAAAAAAGAGGCGGCCATGACTGTTCAGTGAACAGTTCTATCAATGAAATATAACTGAACAAATAATTCACCCTCGATTCGATTCGATTGTTAAGTGGTGGTAATATATTGAGCAATAAATTGTTTAAACATATGGGTGAGAGTGAGCACCGTACTTCTTTTGGTTCCTTCACTATTTTTTTATCTATAACGGGGGTTTCCTTGATCGGAATTTTGGGTGATACCAACTCAATCTTCTTCTTGCAAAGCTTCTCTAGCCGTTTCTGAATTTGTACTGGGTCGAAAACGCCCTTTGCCTTTATCTCTCCTTTCTCCATATCTACCTCCACATTGTGAACCCCTGTTTACATAAAGCAGCACCACCATCAGTTGCCTCAAAGATATGAACGATATATACAATACAAAGGAAAACCCACATAATTAAGGACTATATACTGGACAAATGTTTATGTTGCCGAATGTATTCAACGTATTCAGGAAAAAATCAATATGATTAATGATCCAGATTGACGGTCTGATAAAATAAACATCTTATATTGTTTCAGCAGGAAGCACATGCCGTACCTCTTCTCATTTCTTCACAAGTAATAAAGTTTAATTTTTTTTTAATTTTTTTTAATTGGCTTATATATGTAGAGAAAACCATGATGCGGAATGAACACAAAAGGAACATTTGGATACCTTGGGTAGCCATAAGTGGCTTCTTGATCTCACGTCCACACTGCCGGCAGTGCAGGTTGACTTTGTAAACAGCATTGATTACTCCACCATCTTTCTCCTTTTCTTTCTTTTCATCTTTTTCTTTGTCTTTCTCTTTCTCCTTCGCTCCATCTTTTGCTGCCATTTTAGCAGCAAAGCCTTGATGAGCAGCCAAAGAGGGATTTCAAAAACAAGTAAATTAATGTAAATCTATGCACTTTGGAAATAGTTTATAGGTACAAGAAAAAACCATCTAGAATGTTTAAAAAGTAATTAATTGATGAAACTTTAGTCTTGCTTTGTTTTTCAAGGCAATGTGTTGGTGGGAATTTATGTGGAGGTGGTTCAACTGCCTTTGATAATTGAATCATTGGAGAAAATATTATTCATTCCTTGTGGTAGATTTTCCATTTGATCATTCACACAACACAACTAACCGCAACAACCTCTTCTTCCTCTGACCACTACCAAAATGACGTCGATGGAAATCCGGTTTGCCACTCAATAACTTATTTTCTTTTTTCCCTTGTCCGAACTTAATTTATTCCTAATTCTAAGTTTGTGTTTCACTAAAATACCCAAAATGGAGGTTGAAATTATAAAAAAACCCAACACCCAAAACACTTTATAAACACACCCAAAACCCATCATTACACACACTCAAAACCCATTTATAAACACACCCAAAAAGTTGACTTTGAGGTTGATTTTGGGTGTGTTTCTATGTTTAAATAGTGCTTGAGTTTTTTTATAAATACATGTCTAGGATTGGGTTTATTTATAAATTTGTATTTTTTTAATTTAAACTCCGCACTTTTCTTTGTTCACCTCAATTTCTAATTCAAATTTTCTCAATTTCTAAGAAAACCCCACTATCTTCCCAAGCCACCACTAAGTACACACCCAAAAAAAAACCAAAAAAAAACAAAACAAAACAAAACCCATCCACACCCCACACCCCACTATCTTATCCCTTACAACTCTAAGTTCATCTCAACCTCAAAATTACAGCAAATCTTTAATCACAACATCCTCAATAATTATGGGAGGAGTCCCAAACCAAGAAATAATCTCACATTACATACCTCAATTGACGATCCACAAGCCACCATTTGCATACCCTATTTAGTGTTTATGAAGAGAATATAAGAGTGTAGTAGGTTTCTTTGGATTGAAAGAGAAGAGTAATATGGACAACTTCAATATGAGCATGGCTTAGAAGAAATCGCCATAAGGGGCTTGTTATTCAAAATGCCCCAGTGGACTTATTCACTAACCAAAAAGAAAAAACTGATGTAGGGGCAATGATGCTTCTTCCTCATCCTCATTTGTGGAGTTTTTCTTTGGGCTCACTGAATGAGAGATCGAGTGCAAATGGACATGCACAACTAATCTAACCTTAGAAAATGACGAGAGGGTTAAATTCCTGAGTTTAGCCCAAAACTAGAGAGCTAAAACCTAAAATTTAAGCGAGAAACCTAATTCAATCAACCAAGAATAATAAAAAGGCTTTTTATCACAAATGGTCCTTCACGTTTACGAAATTATCACGAATGGTCCTTGAGGTTTTTTTGTGACACTAATAATCCTTAACGTTTGAGCTTTTTATTACAAATGGTCCCTGCCGTTATAACTTCTGTTAAGTATGATGTGGAAAATAAATGGAGCCCACCTGTCCAATTACATTGTGACATGTGGATAAAAAATAATTAAATATTTTTTTAATGAAAATTACTTTTATTTTTTTTCTGTAACTTTTCATCCCTTCCTTATTACTCCGTCTCTCTCCCCCTCTGCCCTCACTCTCCATCTCTGCTCACAACCCACAACCCATGCCCAACGAATCTCTTCTTGCAACCCACCTATTCATGTTTACTGGTTTCATGAGGGTGCAGTGGTGCTCAGGAATGAGGTTCAAGATGGCGTTTGAGACTGAGGACTCTTCTAGGATCAGCTGGTTCATGGGTACCATTGCTTTTGTTCAGGTTTCTGACCCAATTCGCTGGCCCAATTCCCCTTGGAGACTTCTATAGGTATTGTATTGTTCTGTGATTTGGTGCTCAAATTGTACTTCGTTTTTAGAATTTTGTTGTCTTTTTTTTTTCCCTGAGGTTGTGTTCTTGGGGCTGCTCTTGCATGTTGTCTTGTTTGGTTTGTTGGTAGGGACTAGGGAGAGAACAATCAGATTTCTCCTCCCACGTATCATGTCATGTCTTGCATCTTTTGCCTTGTATCAGTTTGTGAAAATTCTTGAATCCGGGGTCTCGAGATTTTGGCTCTTCTCATTTGGTTAGATGTGCTGAAATGTTTTTGAGTGAATCAGAGTGTTTTTAGCTTTTTGACCCATTTGCAGGGCTAAGAAAAAAATGATTTACAACATGCCAAATTCACAGTTTTTCATCTCCCCATCTTATTTTGGCGAATTGCTGCAGTTCTTGCTTCCTTTATGTTCGTTGGCCACCATCCTTGTGTGATAGGGCTGTGAGAAGAGATTCGTTGGGCATGGGTTGCGGGTTGCGAGAAGAGATGGAGAGCAAAGGGTGGAGAGCACCTGTATCTTATATTTTTTCTTGCAGGTGGCAGCGGGAAATAAAAAAACAGAGGGAGGAGAGGACAGGGAGAAGAGATGGAGAGCGAAGGGTGGAGAGTGAGGGCAGAGGGGGAGAGAGACGGAGTAATAAGAAAGGGGAATGGAAAGTTGCAGAAAACAAAAATGGAATTTTCATTAAAAAATTATTTAATTATTTTTTTATCTACATGTCACAATGTAATTGGACAGATGAGCTTCACTTATTTTCCACGTCACACTTAACAGAATTTATAACGGCAGGGATTATTTGTGATAAAAAGCCCAAACGTTAAGGACTATTAGTGTCACAAAAAAACCTCAAGGATCATTCGTGATAATTTCATAAACGTGAAGGACTATTTGTGATAAAAAGCCTAATAAAAATTACATTGTCATTCGACCGACAAGAGGGGCATGACAACCCCATCGAAATTCGCATAAAAGACCGGACATATGCGGATTTCGATGACCAAGGGGGCTTCTTCGTCTATCTTGAAAATTTCAATTAATGTATCCTAGATTGTATTTTGGCTGTTCATAATGCAATTCTTTATGGTAGATACAAGTTTGTAATTCAGAATGAAGCTACACTCTGTAGCATATGTTATATCAAATTGAGCTTCTTTTACTATATTTCCTGCTTCTTTCTGTTGTGTGTTTCTTGATTTACCCTCTTAATTTACTCTCATAATTTACCCTTGTTCTAGATAATTGGAAATTAATAAAGAATTTTTTTTCTTAGAAATGGGCATTCAAAGAAAAATTATTAGGCAAAGCACAAGTTTTAAGTATTTTATTTAGCATACGTGATTTAGGCTTATTTATGCTTGGAACAATTGACTTATGTATTTGTCAGTTAGTACAAGTTAATGTCTTTTAGTGTTTAATGTGTTTTTGACCACACATAAAATTCTCGTTTTGTCCATAGGCTTTTAGTTGTTATAGTCTTTGAATTTAGACTTGATTTGCATTTGATCTTCAAATTTGTAAAATGGTTGCACTAGCCCCTGAACTCCACTTCTGTTAGCAGTGTTGGTTACTTTTTCTGTCAAATTAAGGGGCAAAACAAAAAAGTTTACGTTATTTTTAATGGAAAAAAATTTTATTTTTAACCTCTTGTTTTTTTTTTTTTTTTTTTTTTTTTTTCTTTTTTTTTTTGATTTTGAACAAGATTGAGGAGATTGGATGGGTGGATGGGGAGGGAGGAAGGAGAGAGAGAAGCTATGGGATGGGGGGTGGACGAATTTGATGGATGAACTAAAAAATTCCCCCCCCTAATGGACACTTAATACGTACTCATATGTTTGGGCTCAAGAAATGAGCTTGAGTTTTGGTGCTCCCAAGCAACCCAAAACTTCTACTGCTTGGACCATCAATGGGCCTCGTGAATACTCGTAACAATCCATATCACAACTTGCTCAGCAAGCCCTAGGTATTATCGTGGCTTGAGCTCACTTAGAGCATGTCTAGCAGCCAGCCTTGGCCAGGGTAGGAGGGGGCCCAAGCCCCATTTCCACGTTCCAGTGGGCTTCAGCAGCCCGTACAGTTGATGGGCTCCATAAGCCTAGGTAGGTCCGAAGGCAAGAAAAACATGGGTTATTACCGCTGACGTCAACAACGAAAATTTTTTTTAAAAATACTAGAAATTTTAGAAATTTTTTTAAAAATAAATACTTAGTCATATTCTTCACTTCCCACACCAAAAGTCTATACAAATTCATCTCATAACATCTCATGTGAATAGTGGTTGCCCTTAGATTGCCATGGTAATGGGTGGAAACACCACAAGTCTTTTGCAAGGGCTACCACTATTCACTTGAATAGTAACAGCCCTTGCCTTGCCCCTGCCCTTTGCCATAGCAAATGGGTGGAAGTGCTCTTAAGCTTGTAGCATGGCTTGGTGCCAAGATAAAGGTTTTTCGCTTGGCGTTGCATGTTATTTGGCATGCTTATGCTCGAGCTTTGCTGTATTGTAAGCCAAATGGCACTTGACGGGATAACAAGCGTGGGTTTACAGAGTCAATACATTTTACGGGCTTGTTACGATCTTTTTGCATAGTAGGTTGCGTATTTGCTTGGTGTGGCACGTGGATCATAGCTTGTGCAAGCGTACACAACAAACTCTTGCGTACCCCAATTGGGCTTCTTCTCCAGTTAAGTATTGTACTGGGCTAGAAATATATTTGGACTCAACTTTGGATTTTTGGGCCTCAACAATGATAAATAATTTCATCAAATTTTGTGGCATAATTGATCACTAGCGTCTTCGCACGCGCTTCAGCACTTGCGATAGGCTTTTCATAAAAAAATTTATATTTATTTAGAATTAAAAAAGATAATGGATAGTTGTGTTCCATAAAAATAGGATCCATTATTTGAATTTTCTTTTAATTTTAATTTTTTAATATGAAAAAGTGTGAATTTACCATATTATCCTCATTTAATTAATAATTTCAATTCTTAATGTTTGCATTAACCAAGAGCATTTTCTGATATTTTGAATATTTTACCATTCTCTGCCTTTTGTTATATACATACATATATATATATATATATATATAAACAATAATATAGTTGAGGTGGTGGTTGTTGTCTTAGCACCACTGCGTATACCACCCTTACACAACCCTTACACCAACATTGTCACAACCACAACACCACCACCATCATTAAAATCACTACACTATAGTCACAATTCAGTGTTTTGATGTAACCCTCCATTTGGATGAGGGAAAACAACTCAGAATTTAGCTAAAAGTCAGGAATTTAAGAGGAGAAATTGACAATTCCCTTGTTTGGCAAGTTAAGCTCGCTATTTATTAAATGACGAGTGGAAAAAATCATGGAAATTGGAGCATCAAATTCCCAAGTTTAATTTCCATCAAAATTGGCGTTATTTCACAATTTTCATAGTGTCATTTACAAAATTCGATATACATAAATCCAAACACCAAAATATTCAATTGCTAGAAATTGAAATGATGGAAATCGAAATTCCATCATTTTAGAATTCTATGTAATTTTGAATTTCTTCACCCAAAGGAAAGGAAGGCTCTCAACACGGCACCCCTGTGGTGTTACTTGAGCCAAGTATGTGAATTCATGGAAAACCTAAATTTGATACTAGGATATAATTAGATAATGGGCGGAGAAATCCAAGATCTTATATATTGTTTTAAAAAACGATCACTATTGTAACCATTTGTTCAGGGGGGCCAGTTTTCTTTTTTCCTTTTAATATAGGCTTAATTATGTACATGCCCCCTGTGCTTTCCAACTTATCTCAGATTACCACCTGTGGTGGAAAACGTCTCAAAGTACCCCCCAACGTTCAAAAAACTGTCTCACGTTACCCTTTCCGTTAGTTTTTTTGAAGTTCCGTTACGAACGTTACTGTTCATCTCCCCCAAAATTCCAGAACAGCAACTCCTCCCATTTATTACTGTTCATCGCACCAGTTTTTGGGCTGCCATCGCCTCCTCCGGCCACCCCAAGCGACGACATGGATATCAAAAGAACCAGCACGTTGTCCTCTACCACCCTCACATCTCAGCCGCTGCCAACCGTCGTCTGGATCACCGAAAAAAGCAAGAAATTGGCCGGTTTTTACCCAAAATCTCCATTGCTCGTTCGGGCGATTCCGAGCACCATTTTCTTCGATCCAGGTATGATTTTTCAACCTCTCGAGTTGTTCTTGCTGCTAGTTGTGTTGGTTAGGAGAAATTTCTGAGTTTTGGAGGGTAAATAAGCGATGAACAGTAACAAAGGGGAGGGGCTACTGTTCTGGAATTTTGGGGGAGATGAACAGTAACATTCGTAACGGAACTTCAAAAAAACTGACGGAAAGGGTAACGTGAGACAGTTTTTTGCACGTTGGGGGGTACTTTGAGACGTTTTCCACCACAGGTGGTAATCTGAGATAAGTTGAAAGCACAGAGGGCATGCACATAATTAAGCCTTTAATATATGAATTGGATATATGTTTTCCAGAATATATGCATTTATATATTACGTAAAAGCCGAGAAGAGGAGTCCACGTCCGTCCGTGTGGGTCTCAGTCTCCATGCAAACGTGAGGTTTCTGATATTAAACAGCACAAAGATAAAACATGGAGGAAAAGCACACATATTCTTTTTTATTTTGTAGGGAATTCATACAAAAAAAATTTATAATATAAATTCCGCCTCTATATTACGTTATGATTAATCGGTGTAAACAAAGGGATTTTTACAAAATCTAAAACTATAAATCTTAGTTTTCTAAATACTTATGTTTTGAAATTCTCTATTGTTTTTTTTAATCAAAGTAACGAGATGAAGGAATTTGAACATAAGACATCTTTCAGTATTGGGAAGAAAATATCTAACTTTTTCAACATTGAACACAAACAAGAAATACCCATTAATGTTTTTTCTTCTCTAATATTTTCGAACCGCCTCATTAAAACGCACCGCAAAAGAAAACACATTACTTTAGTAGAATACCGACTATATCAAATCAGAGAAAATGTGATCAATGCAAATTAGATAATGACCATGGTTACAAACATTAATGAAATAAAAATGAGATAAAAATAATAATAAATTGTGTAATACTCACCAATTTTACACTTTTTTTTTAATCACCAATTTTACCAATATAACTAATAGTAAGTGTTAGGTACCGATATATCGTACCAATGATAAATCACTTTACCAACACATTCACAATGTTCAGTGCATGTGTTACAAAAGAAACATTTTTATTAGGACATTTCTTATTAAGAGGGATGATAGTATATTAAACTCATACACACTATACGAATGCTAGGACTCGAATTCAGAACCTTGCTTAAGGAAGTAATTACTCTAAACCACTACACTAATAGGTCCTTTGCACAAAAGAAACATTGAACCCTCACAATATATTCAATCCTAAGTAATTACCATGTAGATGATTTACCATATCTCCCTATACATTATTGTTTATCCTTATTGCTTGTCTGTTATGTTTGAAAGGGTAAAGTATTGTTGTTATTCATTGTATATAGTGATTTCAAATTTATGATACATTCATATTCGATTTTATGTACATTACACTATTTCTTTTCATAATCTATATACATTGTATTTATTTTCTTCCATAGAAAGATCTTTACCAAAAATGCCGATCACCCAATTTGAACCTACTTTGTATGGCATTAAGATGATAAAACAAGCCACACAGACAAAAAAAGAAAAAAAGAAAATTATAACCGATACGTTATGGTACACATAAAAAGAATTAAAACCATTACCACACGACAAAACCAAATATAGATAAAAGGGGCCTATTCACATATCTTTTATTTTGTTTTTATTTTTATTTCTCCATATATCACAACACGAACCTTTTTTCGGGTTTGGTAAAACAACTAACTATTTCCAGGAATTTGCATTCAAGGCCATATGCCCAAGAGTATTTATATATAAGGGGGTGCAAGCACATAGAGAAGCACAAGTAGACTGTGAGCTTCTTCTCTCAGAGTGTGCAACTGTTCTCTCTCTTTCTCTGAGTATAGTGATCACAAAGTAAAAGAGCAGAGTTTGGTATACAATCATGTTGGGTTTGGCTTTGGGAGTTGGAAGGGAGCTTGGTTCCTCCATGTGGATGGTCCTTTTGTGCAGCCTTGGTGCTCTTGTGGCCCTCAAATGGTTTCTGCAGAATGCAAATTCCTGGTACTATGAAACCCCGCTGGGTGAAAAGAAGTTCTCTCTCCCTCCTGGTGACTTGGGCTGGCCTTTCATTGGCAACATGTGGTCTTTTCTAAGAGCTTTCAAGTCCTCCAAACCTGAAGCCTTCCTCAACTCCATGGTTTCCAGGTTCACACCTCTCTCTCTCTCTCTCTCTCTCTCTCTCTCTCGTCTGCAATTATATGTATTTTCTTTACTTTCTCTAAGCCAGATGAATTATCTGGTACCGGATATCAATTTATAGTATCTAGTACATTGTCGATATTTTGGTAACCATTACCCTCAATTCTTTTACAAAATAAAATGCTGGAGGCATTTTGATATGGTTATATGATGCCGTGAGGATTCGAACTTGAGACCTCTGATATACAGGACAAGGCCGTTTTCCACTGAACTAGACCCCGTTGGCATTTATACCAGTGTTTTGATGATGTGAATGGAAGAGTTTCTTTATGCTCTCCACTTTTGGTCCCTCCGAGTTAGAAGTGAAACACACACTCGCACACATCTAACTAGATTGCCTTATCAATGAACAATGCAGGTTTGGTCGTACTGGAATCTACAAAACCTTCATGTTTGGGAGCCCAAGTATCATCGTTACAACGCCTGAAGCAAGTAAAAAAGTTTTGACAGATGATGATGCATTTAAACCCGGGTGGCCTGTTTCCACAGAGGAACTAATTGGAAAGAACTCATTCACTAGTATATCTTTTGAAGAACACAAACGTCTACGAAAGCTAACAGCAGCTCCAGTCAATGGTTATGAAGCATTGTCCGTGTACACAACGTATATCGAAGAGAGGGTCATATCATCTTTGGAGAAATGGTCCAAATGGGAGAAATAGAGTTCTTAACTCAACTCAGAAAGCTTACTTTCAGGATTATCATGTACATCTTTCTGAGCTCAGAGAGCGAGCCAGTCATGGAGGCTCTGGAGAAGGAATATACAATTCTTAACTATGGAGTTAGAGCCATGGCAATCAATCTTCCGGGATTTGCATACCATAAAGCACTTAAGGTGAGGGAATTATTGTTTTCGTAACATGGACATTAGTATTTGCATTTTGTTTTAGCATAACCGAATCATTTTCATTTCAGGCACGGAAAAATCTTGTCTCTACATTTCAATCCATTGTGGACGACCGAAGAGCTCAAAGGAAGGCCGGAAACTACGTGGCAAAGAAGAAAGATATGATGGATGCTCTGCTAGATGTTGTTGATGACGATGGAAGAAAACTTACAGATGCGGAAATTATAGATGTTCTGTTAATGTACTTGAATGCAGGCCATGAATCTTCTGGCCATACAATGATGTGGGCCGCCGTTTTCCTACAAAAACACCCAAAATTTTTCCAGAAAGCTAAGGTACATGAATTAATAGTTTTGGATCAAGTTCTTTTATTTTGTCAAATTTATTTTTAATACTGGGGACTTATTTACTGGTGCAATGTGACAATTCATCATACATAGTAATTTCTAGCCTTCACTTTGAGTCCATACTAAATCCACTCTGATTTATCCTTTAATGAATTCTGATTTGCTAAAATGTTTGGTCAATGCAGGCAGAGCAAGAAGAGATTGTAAAAAGGAGGCCACCAACACAGAAGGGCATGACGTTTAAGGAATATCGAGAAATGGAGTATCTTTCCCAGGTACATAAGTGACTTCACTTCCATTTTTTTCAGCCCCTGCCATCATATTCCAGCTAACCCTTTTAAACTCCATAGGTGATTGATGAAACTCTTCGTGTCGTAACATTCTCCCTTACCGTTTTTCGAGAGGCAAAGAAAGATGTCAATATAAACGGTGAGTGCATGGTTCTAAATGTTTTGTTTTAGAGGAAACAGAATTTGTATATTTGTTCAATTTATCTGTTTTGATGTGGAACCACCTTAAAAAATTTACTTAATGGCTTTGATTTCAGGTTATACCGTTCCTAAAGGCTGGAAAGTTTTGGTCTGGTTCAGGAGCATTCACTATGATTCTGAAATATATCCAAATCCGTTGGAATTCAACCCTGATCGATGGGATGTAAGTTCAGAAGCACTTTTGATGTACTGATAATTATGGCAAACAGTAATTTATATCTTGGATCTGACTTGTTTAACTGCTCTCTGCTGGCTCAGAACTACACACCCAAACCATTAACTTTTCTTCCCTTTGGAGCTGGAAGCCGGCTGTGCCCCGGAAATGATCTTGCTAAGCTGGAAATCGCTATCTTCCTTCACCATTTCCTCCTCAACTATAAGTGAGTCATCTTGCAACCAAATTCCTCTCCATGACTAAAATTACAATTTATTTATTTGTTTTTATTTTGATTTTTTCTGTATGTTCTTCTAATGTTTCTGTAATTTGGTGCTGCAGGATGGAACCTACAAATCTGGACGGCCCATTGATGTACTTGCCACACACTAGGCCAAAAGACAATTGCTTGGCAAGAATCAAGAAATGTGGATCTGCATAGATATGAGAGGAGAAGTGAAGAAGGAAACACAGTCAAGGGTTATGAAAACACAGAGTTTCTGTCCGCCTCATATATTAGCTTTTAGGTTCTATGTTTTTGGGTTGGCAAGTTTTGAACTTGCAAACCAAGCTATAAGAGCTGGTGATTGTGCATTTGCAGGCCTGTTTTATGTATCACCATGTTGGTTTCTCTAAATAAAATTGTTGGAAATTAAACCAGCATCTACTGTTGTTCATGGTTTTGTCCTTTTAGTTTTTTGAGTTGTCTTGTATGCTTTTGCCCTCTAGTATTTTGTTGCTGTGCAGAAACGGCCATGTTTTACTTTGAGATTTTTTGTAACTAAGAAACAGTTTTTGAGTACAAAGTTCATAATTTGTGTTCTGTAAGGCTCATTTTTCGAAAAAACCATCTAAAAAACAACTATAAAAAACCCCATTTTTAAAAACACAAAAGTGAAGGTTTAAGAGTTTTTTTGCTAACGGGGTCTAGCCTAGTGGAAGAGAGCTTTGACTTGCAGACCAGAAGTCTCAGGTTCAAATCCCCACGGCATTATAGTTGTGTGTGTTTGTGAGAAATCCCCCTCCCCTGTAGTTTAGACTAGTGCTTGTACTAAAAAAAAGAGTTATTTTCTTCTTTAAAAGCCCACCATGCCTCCTCTCTCTCTCTCTCTCTCTCTCTCTCTCTCTCTCTACCCTTGACCTAGTCATCTCTTCCAATTCTGACTCGGGCTTGGACAACAATGATGTTTCACACCTACCGGTCAACTCGAAGCTCGACCCGACCCAGACCCCCTCCCAGAACTCACCCTCCTAGATCCTCCGATCCTTGTGTTGGATAAAACTGAAACTCTAAAACTTGCTTAAATGTTGAACACAAAAGCTATAGCTGAAAGTTTCAAACTTGATTAATTGAATTGAATGAGTACAATTTAAATAGGGAAACTAAAGCTACTGTTGCAAGTAACATGATCATCATTTAGCAAATTTTGTGGAGCCATAATCCACGATTGAAAGCATGAAAAATAAACTTGGTTACCCACACTAACCATGACTTCTACAAACTAGGGATTCCTTATAGTCCAGGTATCACTAATCTCCTAACTATAGGCAACAACTATTATTAAAAATAAATAACTTAAAAACAAATCTTAACACCATCCCTTAAACTGATTTATGCAGAAAACAGTTTAAGATTTAAACTTCATTTGTAGTCCAGTGCTGATACCCTTTCTTGAACAACGACATGTGGAGCAAACTCCAAGTATGCTTATGAGCTTCTCAAACATTAGCTGTTTGAGAGGATTAGTTAGGACATTAGCATCTTGGTCTTTACTCTTGCAAAACTATGACTCAATCACATCATCTTTGCAGAGATCACGCTAGAAGTGATAATGAACATCTATATGTTTGCTTCTCTCATGCATAAATGGATTCTTTGAAAGCTTTATGGCAGAAACATTGTCCCAAAATATTTTTGTTGGACCTTACTGCTAATGACCAAGAACTTCAAGCATTCTTCTCAGCCAAATGGCTTGGCAAGAACACAAAGCAACTGCGACAAACTCAGCTTCAGTTGTGGATAGTGTCACTCTGCTTCTTCTTTAAAGACCACGAAACAACACCTAAACTTATTAAAAACACATGCCCAGAAGTGCTCTTTCGATCATCAATATCCCCTCCATAATCAATGTGAGTGAAGCCAAAGAAAATTGCTTTTTCACCTTTTTTGTAAAGAACACCAAAATCAGATGTTCCTTTTAAGTATCGAAAGATTCTCTTAACTGCCTTGAGATGCATCCCAGTAGGATTCTCCATGTAACAGCTTATCAAACTAACATCATGCATGATGTCTGGCCTTGTTGAAGTAAGTACATTAGACTTCCAATAATTTGCTTGAAGTATTGTCAATTCTCTTAGCATCGGGATCTTTTGTCAACTTCAAACCAATTTCAATTGGTGTTCCAACTGGATTGCAACTCATCATCTGAAACCTTTCAAGCACTTCAAGAACATATTTCTTTTGAAAATAAAGTTTCCAGCAGCTGATTGTACTACTTCTATGCCAAGAAAGTAGTGCACCAGTCCCAAATCAGTCATATCGAACTCATTCATCATAGACTTCTCAAACTCATCAAACATATCACCATAATTTCCAACGTAAATCAAGTCATCAACATAAAGATACATAATGAGCATTTTACCTTCATCACCAACCTTAACATACAAAGTATGTTCATATGGACACTTTTGGAAGCCTTGTTTGACAAAATATGCATCTATGCGGCTCTACCAAGCTCGTGCTGCTTATTTTAGCCCATAAAGTCGATTTAGTCCAAATCACAAACCATACCCTAAAGTGTGTCTTCATTTGCTACAGCCCAAATCACAAAGGTTATAGGTGTCTAGATTCCTCTACAGGATTTGTTTACAGCTTCTGCAGTGTTTTATTTAACGAACAAACATTTCCGTTCAATAATTTACAGGTACCATAGCGCACGACATATGTTGACAATGATTTTCATCTTATTGATGCTTCTGTCTCCCGACCTTTTCCTCCCAATTCTGTTCCTTTAGGCCCCATCCTTTTGCATAATACAATCCCGTGACTAAACCCATCTTGCCTTGGTTACCTTGACTGGTCCACCAAGTCCGTATGCTTCTCCAAGCCCATCCCGATTCTCACTAGACCATGCCAACACTTCTGCCTCAGCACCAATGCCTTATGACTAACGTATTCTTGCTCATGCACCTCATGTGATCCCTAATAGCCCCTAGGCTAGCCCTCTCTGTCCTTGCTGTATTGGATCATCACCAACTCCATCGCAACCTTTTATAGACTCGGTTCCTACTACCGCCTTTCACTCTCCTCATGTTGCTCCGCCCCCTCACATCTGCACTTGCCTTCAAGATGGCATTCACAAGCCTAAACAACGAATTGACGACACTGTTAGATATCCTATTCCCCGTGCATTATTGGCGGCTCTTCATCATTCTAAACCAACTTGTTTTTCACAAGCTTCTCGATATCCTAAATGCCGTGATGCAATGACCAAAGAGATTAATGCCTTTATCAAAAATGAAACATGGTTGTTGGTCATTCTTACTGTCTCTCAAAACTTGGTTGGTTGCAAGTGGGTCTTTCAGATCAAGCGTAATTCGGACAGTCCTCTTGAGCGCTACAAGGCTTGCCTTGTTACCAAAGGCTTCCACCAACACCTTGGTATTGATTATGCAGAAACTTTTAGTCATGTTGTCAAGCCTACCACAATTCGCATTGTTCTTAGCCATGCTATCTCTCGTGGTTAGTCTCTTCGACAATTGGATGTCAAAAATGCATTTCTCCATGGTGTTCTTTAAGAAGATATTTACATGGTTCAACCTTCTGGCTATGTTGACTCGGTAAGCCTACACAATGTCTGTAAATTACATAAGGCCTTTTATGGCCTCAAGCAACCCCTATGGGCTTTGTTTCAGCGTATTAGTCACTTCCTCCTCACAACTGGGTTCTCTTGCAGTGAAGCCGATGCCTCTCTCTTTATTTTTCGTCATGCCTCTCATACCATCTTTCTATTGCTATATGTCAATGACATTGTTGTGACATGCAGTGACCCATCTCTATTACAGGATTTTATTAATCTTCTGGCTCACCAATTCGACATTAAGGACCTTGGTCCACTTAGCTACTTTCTTGGATTATAGGTCTCTCACCAGGATGGCTCTCTTCATCTCAGTCAACTCAAATATGCCAATGATCTCTTGGAAAGACTGCTCTTGTTCACTCTAAATTGGCATCCACCCCTTTGGTCACCATGACTCTCCTATCTCTAATCGACATCAACTTGCTCTCCAATCCCACTGAATATTGTGAGCTTGTCAGCAGTCAGCAGTACCTTACTCTCACTCGCCCTGACATCTCCTTTGTTGTCAACACAGTTACCCAGTTCATGAGTGCTTCACGCACAACCCATCTTATTACTACAAAATGAATTCTCCCCTACTTCAAAGGCATCATGGATTGCGGCATCAATTCTCTCATCAACTTGCCAATGCTTCTCTTTGTGCTTATTCAGATGCCGACTGGGTAGGTTGCCCTTACTTTTGCTGCTCAACCACGGGTTACTTGATTTCTCTTGGCACCAATCTTCTCTCGTGGTGTTCCAAAAAGCAATATATTGTATCTCGCTCCAGTGCCAAATTTGAATATATGGCCCTCTCTCATGCTAGTGCCAAAAAAACTTGGTTATGTTCTTTATTGCATGAGCCTAGTGTTCACCTTCACTTTCCTGTCCTTATTCATTGTGATAATCTGAGCACCACCTATATGGCTGCAAACCCGGTCTTTCATGCTCGTACCTGCCACATTGAGTTTGATTATCACTTTGTTTGTGAGAAGGTCACCCTCAGAAGCCATCAAGTTCGGTTTATTCCCTTTGTCAACCAATCGGCGGATATTCTCACCAAGGCACTTCACAAGTCGCACAATTAACTTCTTTGCTCTAACTTGTCCATCCAGGGATGTCTCGTTTGCACGTGGAGGGGGAAGGGGGGATGAGGGGTGGTGTCAACGCAAATCTTGGATATATTACTTTCCTACTATATTTAGAAAATATGTACTACTCACACTTATTGAAATACAAGAAACACATTTTCTACACTCCACAACCACCAATCACCCAAGCACTTGCAACCGATCCAAAACCCCATCGTCACAACCACATGCAACAACCCCAATCCATCATCGCAGCCACACAGTTCTAGTCATTTTTGACGAGCACCATACGATTTGACTTCCATTCAAAACTCAAATAATAAGAAAATCCACCATCGCAACCATATGATTTCGGTACGCACCAATGGCAGACGAGGAGGACTTCATAGCTTGAACTTAGGGCTGTAGGTGACAACGACAGCTTTGTGAGCAGAGGGAGAAAAGGAGAAGAAAGAGAAGATTAGTAAAAAAGGAAAATGAGAGAAAAATTTCGAGGAAAAAAAAGCACATATAGAAAAAGACTGAGAATAAGAGGAGAAGGAGACGACGACAACCACTGTGCTAGGAAGAAAGAGCCCATAGTAGCAGGGCTATGCACAGGAAGGAAGAAGAAGAAAAGTTATAGAAGAAAATAAATAAAAAAATCCACATGCCCATAAATATAATATATTTTTAAAAACACTTTTAACAAAAAAAAAAAAAAAAAAAAAAAAAAAAAAAAAAAAAAAAAAAACAACTTTTTTTAAAAAAAAAAAAAAATTAGTTCTACTCCAATCAAATGTACATCGAACATAGTACAAGTGCTATCCAGCTTAGGCCAAACCAAGCCAATCCAAGACAATTCCAGGATGTAGTCTAATTCATGACAATCCACCGTACTAAACAACCCCTTAAACTGTTGGTACTTATAAACCATGAAAGGAAACTACTCCCTTCTAATGTGGAACTAAGTGAAAGTATATTTTCTTATACAAACTCTAACACAATAGTCTAAACTACTCTAGATTAGTGTAATCTATGAGAAGGGAATTTGAACTTAGGTGGAAAGGGACGTGTTCACTATTGATTTTTGCAAGGCATTGCAAACATGTTTGAGTTAAAATTAGTCCCATATTGGAAAACTATAATTCCTTGAAGGTCTCTATAATACTTACTCTTGGAAATAGAATAATTTCGATTGGGCTATGCAAGTGGCCCAATTTAGTGGCCTGTGGGTTTGGCATTTGGGTCACAATGCCTAATTAGTTGGGCCAATGGTTAATTAATATATATTCAATTAATCAAAAGATGGGCCTTAATTAATTAATTATTTATTTGAATTATTTTTTAAAATTCAAATATCATATAAGTTTTTTGTGATTGGGTTTTACCGTTATCTGATACTTGTAGGAGCCTTGGTTCTGTTTACATTACATCAAAAACGCAGAAATCATTCAAAGTCATCTTCATGTTCATAGCCTGAGAGAAACACACATATTTTGCTAGAAATCAAAGCCTTGGTGCTAGGACTTTGATTTTAGATAGTTGTATTCTGGTGGAGTAGACGCCAGCACAACTACAAGTACTAAGTAGGGGCGAAATTCTATTTCAAAGACATTGCAATCTGCAAGCCTCTATCTGAAAAACCAATCAATTTTTATTTTACGGTCTAGTTTAATTTCGTATTTTTATTTATTATTTAATTTAATTGTGAAATTAAATTATTGTTATTCAACCAACACTCACTGCAACTTGCTTAACCATGTCTCCTTGCACCACAATGTTTTAAGGGCTAGATTCCAATGAATAAACAATTCCACCCACACTTACATTGCTGGTGCCTATTGTGGCCCTTCGCGTGGGTGGCGAGTGGAAGGAACTTGCATTTATCTTCACGTGGCTTACAGTGCAAAAGTGGCATGGGTCTTGCGCCATGCTTGGGCTGCAACAAGGGCTCCAAATGTGTGGACTTGGAGGAATTGCTCTGGCGTTCTGAGATGGAGAGTGTCCACTGTTTATTGCCGAAGGGGATTGGTATACGTAAAAGTCGGTTTCTTTATAAAACGAAAGTTTGTGAAGTATAGCTGAGTTGGTCTCTTCTTCGGTCTACCCCCACTTATTTGGACAGGAGTTTGAAATTCTCATGTCCAATAAATAATTGCGGGATAATTTTCGCTTTACTACAGTAAAGTTTACCAACTTTTAGAGTTCGATACATCAAATTTTTTTCATCTCAGTCGCATACACAAAGTTAATATTCTTACCAATTTCATACATGTTGTCAGCTTTTCTGTTAACAAGTCTGTTAATTACTGACGTGGCAACAAATGTGCCACATAGATTCACT